TTGTTGTGTTAGTTTACAAAGTGAGAGGTACCGATTGTTCCAATGACGAGTTCTCACTGGATGACTTTTTCCGTGAAATCCTCCTGCTGATCCCAGAATCACAGATCATTGGTCAGCCGCCGGTTTTGTAGCTTTTTTATAAGAAAGAGATCTGATTGGATCCTGTCCCGCTCTAGCTGTGACCTCAGCTGACCATCTGATGTTTCATTTGAACCGTGTAACCGCTTGAATGTGTCGTCCTGATCTGACGCTTCACAGAAACCATGTCAGCATGCAGCGTTTCGGCCCTCAGAGAGCTGTCGGTCCCAGCGTCTGTTCAAGGTCTCTGCCGATAACACACACAGAGCCCAGGCCCTCCACAAAGACAGGATTGTTCTGTGACACACAAAGATCAGGTGTCTGCAGGTTTCTGCGCTCTGAAAGAGACGTTTTCTATCAGAGGAAGATATTTGGAGCATTTACACTAATCCAGGTGGAAGACGATACAGGTGTTCAGAGGTCTCATTCCGAGGAAAAAATGGGACCAGTTTCAATAATCCATCAGGCCGAGTTCTTCCCCCACAGGCAGCTGCTGGTTTCAGTTCCTCTCTGTTCAGAATCAACCTGCAGGGACAAGAACTTTGTCTCTCCATTAACAAAGCTGCATATTTAGAACTCTGATGTTCAAGATGCATTCAAGGACACTGCAGCCTCACTAGGTTTATGACAAACATAAACATCATTCACATTGTCGTCATGGTACCATCTCCAAACCATGTCCAAAGATTTGGACAAGGTGTGGAGCCGCTATCAGCCCTGGACTGATTTAACCCTTGCTTATATTCATAATAGTCATGTCACAGTCATATTTACAGACTTTATTTACATAGCTTTTATTTTGAAGTCACACAGAGGAGAGTTTGAGCATCACATCTGTTTTAAATACTGCGGTGCAGTTACCACCAACTCTCAGCAGACACACATCTTTTCACTTTAACTGCATGGCTGTTAGTGCCGCTGATTGTGAATGAGATAATTCTTACAAAAAGAATTCTGTTCAGAAAGGGGGCAGAAATTACTGCACAAAGACTTGTTTGCTCTTCAGTACAGTTAGGGGAGCATTTAACCCTTTGTGTGGGATTTGTGATGTCTTTTTGTCAGAGGTTTAGCGGGTGCGCAAAAGGAGCGCAATCCTTCATGAGAATCAGACCTTTGGTTTTCTTAGAGACCCAAAGTCTAATTTAATGTGATATCATGATTCACCTTCTTTCCTTCTGTTTGTCTGTGTTGTTTTCTAGAGGCAGCAGAAGACAAACATCTCGGTGAGGGATGTGAAGCTGATCTTCAGGGTGAGCAGCTCTGTGGGAGATCAGCGAACACAGATCACATTCCTGCTCGTCACACGGGACGCCCATCTGATAAAAGATCTCCAAAGAAACCAAACATGTGCTCTGGATCTCAATTAGAAAGCCGAGAACAAGTTATATAAAGATAATAACAAAAAGGTCCGTCCATGAAAACACACACGGCACATTCATTAGCTTCTGATTATTCTGTGCTGCAGGCCACGTTTATTCCACAGACGAGACAACTGTAACATCCCATAAACCTATAAACAGGGGCGGAGCCAGACCTCTCATGGACTGGGACACCCCGGCTGGGGCCCGGACTTTAGTTGTGTCTCGAGATAACAATTGTTCTGAACTGGCGCTACACAAATAATGATTGATTGATTGATGGGCCAACTTGCTTAGCTGTTGGTAAACTATGACACAAAGCCGGCTGCAGATAAGATGAAAATGGGACGGATGGATTGTTTGTAATTTACAAAAATTTCAGGCGGCAAATGCACACTTTGCATGTTGTCAACACTTTTGTGCAAATAAGATCGGTGCAGGAACATTTTTGATGCACTTCTCTAAAGCAGATGTTTTATGGAGTAGATTTTATTTATATTTTACAATCAATTATTTGAATAACAAAGACTGTAACATTTAAAATCTCTTGTTTTTTAAAAGTACTGTAGTAAAAAAAGTGACACTCTTGGAAACCGGCTGGTTTTAATAAAGATTAAAGATTTAGAGTTCTTTTCTTCTAGCAAAAGAAGTTGGCATGGATTGTATCACCGCTCAGAAATGATAATTATCTAATGTTCCATCTCGTATTCTGGTACAATAGCAACCCTTAACTTCAGAAAGCTGTAGAGCTCTCAGACAAAAACGCTCCTGATAGTGATCGGCTCGGAGAAATCTGCCTGGCAACAAGAATGTTTTGACTGAAGCTTCAATCACAGGAAGATTATTAGTGTTACTGAGAGCTGAGACACAAAACAGACACCCACAGAGGAAAGACAACAAGTTCCCTTCAGTGAATTTAACAAGTCTAAAATAGTCTCTCTAAATCAGAACCTCACACAGAGACGTGGCTTAAAGCAGGATTCACATTCATCAGTTTAATCATCTTTACATGAATCTATGTTTGGAAATGTTCTCCTTCAGCTACATTCCTCCCCGAGACATTTTCTTCACCCATCTCATTTTACCAGCTGCATGCTGGGAGCTGGCCAAGCCGAATTCCTGACTGCGGCTGCCTGGTCCACCTGTAGACCTGCACACAGGTACGCTCCTCTCTGAGCGGTAACATAACCGAGCTGACCCTGAACTCCTCTGATAACCTGAGCTTCAGAGGTGATAGAACGAGGCTAACATAAAGAGTCCTGAGGCTACGAGACGTCCACACGTGGCACAAACAAAGCACTTCATTAAATATCTGTTTGCTACAGAAGCCTGAAGTGGACATACATCAATACATTTTATTTAACTCCATTTCAGCCAGAGAACGAGTACATCTCGGCCGTTTATTCAAAACACCAATCCTGTTTTTTCCATGATAGCGAGTTAATGTCTGAAGATCGAGGAACCATTAATCTGCCATTTGTGCTTGGCCACAGCGAGTGTTTACGGCTAATCACTTAATCTTGAACAGTGAGCTAATGAGGTGATTATGCTATTGTGTAGTGTGAAACCAGACACCCGGCAAAAAGAAACACATTTTAACCTTGAGAACTGTAGCACCTTCAAGATCCTTTAGGAACACGGCGGGATATGCCAAAACACACGTGTCAGGATGTAAACAGCTGACTCAGACGTGCTCTGGTTGAACACAGGCAACCCACAAAGACCATCAGAGACATTAGAGTACGTTGAAATCCTTGTTAGGTGGCTCTTGTTCCCATGAATTGACCTTATTACGAGTCCAGATTTACTGCCCAGAAAAAGAAAGCTAATTTGAGCCACTTGTATCCAGGATTTCATTCTTGTAGGCACTGCTAAAGCTCCTGATCCCATGTGAGGGCTGGAAAGTAGAACAATGGGCAAATCAAGAGCCAGAATTGCTGCTGCCGCTGCACAGATTTAACCGTGGATCTCACCTACTTTCTAGTCTTCACTAATGAACAACGTGACATCATCTGCAAACAGGCGAATATGCAATACTGACTTGATCATATCAGACAGTTTTTATACCTCTACAGCACTTCAAGACTCTTTCTATGAGCATCCCTTCAATAGTGGGAGCCAGGGGACATCCTGGCAGGGAATATTCTCCACTGTTTGGATGCTTTGAGTGCATAAGAAAACCAAAACAGCGAAAGAAACATCTTCACGATCCTCATGAGGAGTTTTTAACGTGGTGTTTTTCTGTAACAGCAAAATTCAAGTCCTGCTTGATGTTAGATTGACTTCGATTTATCTTTTACAACAGGTGAGTTTGGTTGAAAAACACAGATCAGGATGTATTTCTCTGGGTTCTTGTCACAACAGGAGATTTTTCTGCCTCCAGATTCGCCCTCAGGATGATACTGACATCATGGCAGCAACATAAGCAGACAACCAAACATCTCTGGGATTCAGTGACAGCAGACGATATATGTGACACAGATGTCCAGTCATTTTATATCCTACACATCCCGTGTGTCATTCTGTCATCGTTCTCTCACGTGTCCCCCTAAAGTTACTGTCAGTCAGGTTTACAGAGCTTGCTAAACAAACAAGAGACAAAGAAACAGATTCTCTCTCACAGCATCGCAGCATCCTCTCCAGATGACTCAAACTTTAACATTGAGCACAAAAAACTCTAGTAAAGACGCTGAATTTAAGTACCTTCTTTTTTGACTGGTTATGAGTGAAGCCTCTGTGTAAGTTATTATTTACTAACTGAGACTCATAGGAAACAGATGAACAGGCGCTCCTCCGGGAATGTTATGGATTATGTAAATACAGAGTTATCATCTGCAATCAGATGTAATCTTTCAGGGAAGCGTACAGGAGGGCCAGTCTGCTCCCGTTCCTCACTGTTAACTTCTTCCAGTAACTCTGACCTGGAGAGGAAGTGACTTCAAATACTAAGAGAGACTCATATCGTCTTCCGCCAATGTCCAAAGCAAGCCAAAAACAACTTGCTAACTAGCATTGGCTAACATGTCTGGAGGATTGTTTTGCCTCCAGCTAAGCCCCGCCCACCCCCAAAAAACATCACACTGTTTAGTAACGCTTTAAGGGTCTATAGTCCATTATTCAAACCCAGGGGCTTGACTTCAACTTACTGAGAACGTAAAATAAGTTTTGAGCTCTTCTAGAACAAACCTGGGAGTTGAGGTTAAATTTCTCAGAATGTATGTTGATGGATTTACAGTAAATTATTTATTTTAATAAGATATAAGGAAGTACAGATGTTCCCGAAGCTAATTTAATTTTAAATAAAAAATAAAAAATAACTCATCAGTGGAGTTTTTCAGTCGTTCTGGTCCTTCCTTCTCTTTTTCTTTTCTATCTCTCTCTCTCTCTCTTTTTGGTTGACCTGCCAGGAAAGCCCCTCCCCCTTCCTCTGATGTCACAACTTTTCAAGGTGTATGTGTGTGTGTGTGTGTGTGTGTGTGCATGCGTGTGTGCGCGTGTGTGTGTTTGGGAGCTTATTTAAAGGGCTGACTCTCTCGCTGGGCGATCGACACCAGCTCAGCATCCTCAGCTTACCGCCTGCTGCTCCCAGGGAATAAAAAACTCTCAGCAGTTCTTCCTGACAGACGTCTCGCTGCAGAAACAGTCAGTAAGAGGACTGAGTTTCATTTTGTGTTGCACAGAGATTCTTACTGTCTGACTGGAAGACTGTTTGGTTGAATTACTGACTGACTGGTTTAAACTCAAACAGAATGAGAAAGATTTCACTTCACTTTTTGACTATTTTCTCGACTGCTCCTTCTGACCGACTACTTTATCGACTGCCTCTTTAATTAACAACTGTTTAAAATGTAATAAGTGGATCAGTTTCCAGACTGACCAATAGGAGGTTAAGTGAACTTACAGAAACTTTAGTGGTTTGCTGGTTGAACTGTGATTGGTTTATCAATTGGTTGAATTGTTTACCAACTGGCTGACTGTTTTTTATCTTGTTTACTGGTTGGCTTTATGTCATGTGCATGGTTTGCTGATTGGCTGATTTGTTTTAAAATGGGTTAAATATTAAATAACTAACCAACAGACGTACTGGTTTATGATTTGTTTACTGGTTGACTTGATAACTACATGACTTGACTGGAAACAGTTGGTCATCTGGTGTACCAGTTCATTAAACTGGTTTACCAGACGGTCAACAGTTTCTTCCTTTTACTAATGCAACCAGGAAACTTATTGGCTGTTTCACATCTTTACTGACTCTCTTAGTTTGATTCGCTCTATGTTGAAAGTTTACTAACTGGCTGATTGGTTTACCAATGATGGGTTGAAATGCTCAATAACTGACTGACTGACTAACGTTCTGATTGATTTATATCTTGTTTACTTTATAAATCTGATCACCGGTTGATCAAATGTTAACCTGGATATTTTCTTCTTCTAAGGCTAACTGATTACTGGTTGACTTTCCAGATATGAACTGGCTCTTTAAATCTGAAAACTCTTTACTGATTGAGATTGTTCTTTTTTGTTTACCAACTGTTTACTAAGCATCTGATTGGTTTACCATTGGGTTGTGCTGCTTAATAACTAACCAACATACCAACAAACTTCATGATATTGTTTACTGGTTGACTTTGACTTCATTAAACTGGTTTACCAAAAGGCTAACAGTTTCTTCTGTTATTAATGCTAACTCGATTAGTTATCGACTGTTTCACGTCTTTACTGACTGTTTTCCATTAGCTCTTTAACGATTGAGTTTGCTTGTTGCTTACTCGATTTTCTTCTTGATTGTTAAAGGTGTGATTGGTTTACTAATTGGCGGACTGGTTTATTGACTGGTTAGTTTACTCTTTATTTTTACTCCTTATTTTTACTGACTTTACTAAATACCAGTTTATGGCTGGTTGGTTTACTGGGTTAACTGTTATCATGGTCAATGCAGTCTTTGCTTGTTAACTGGTCCTGTTTACCTGCTTGCTGACTGGTTTGACCATTGGTTAAGTGACTTGCTGGTACCGACTGGTTTCTGCTTGGTGACTGGTTTTGTACAGTTTTTCTTTAATCACCTGTGTTAAATCATTTATTGGTCTTAAACCGGCTCATACCACTGGCTGGTGGACTGGTTTTACTGTATGCAGGTTTAGATGTTTTTTTAGTCTGACAACCTATTTACTGACTGATTTCCATGCCTAGCTGGTTTACATAGCCAATTAATTAATGTCATACTAGTTATTATTTTTTCATTCTTGTTTACTGACTGTTTTATTGACTGCCAATCATAATGAAGCCATTTATTGTGTATGCCGACTGCTCTGCTGACTGTTTTACTGAGTTATCTGTCGACTTAGCCACCCTTCTTCTTCTGTGGTAGTTTTAATGGCCTTGTTTAGATGTTTACTGGTTTACAGACTGGAGGTTATCGTTAAATCTTAATTAAATTATGTTTTGCTAGTTGGTCGGCTTTGTTTACCCATTCACTGACCGATGTACTAATAATTACATATTTGGTTTTAACAATTTAGTTTACTGACAGATTATTTAGTTTACCCGTCTTTATCACTTGTTAACTTCCTCACGATCTGATTCGCTGGCAGCCTGGTTAACAGATTATCACAATATGAATGACTGTTGTCAACTGACTCCGTTTTCTGGCTAATTGTTTATTGTAAATGTTGTCTTAACCAGTCTGCAAGTTTTGAACTGAGTTAATGAGCTTGGTAAACTGTTTATCCAGTGATTGAAAGTTTTAATCATAACAGTTAGCATAGCCTTCACCATTAGCTTTACCATTGCTAGCCCGTTTAACACTTTATCCAAGTTTAATGTACACATTGATGACTGACAGACAGACTGACTGATGGACTGACGGACTGATGGACTGACTGACTGACCGACCGACCGACTATGTTTACCATGTTTTATGAGTTTGCTGATAACACAGTGTCACTGTTTGCCCGGGCAGATGTACTGATGTCTTTACTGACTGAATTTCTAATCAAATATAAACATTTTGACTTACTGTTATTTTTGTAATCTGAGCCCAGTTTGTGTTTCAGGTGCAGAAATGACTCCGCTGTCTCACCTGCTGCCTCTGACAGGTGTGCTATATTATTCTATTCTACTAGCTTAGCAGTATGCTGACTTTCCCTTTGTCAGCTAAAAGTTTTTCTTTCTTTCTTTCTTTCTTTCTTTCTTTCACGTATTCGATGTATTTGATGTATTTGATGTCAGGTTAATGTTATTTTTTATCTTCCTCTGCAGGCCTTTCCTTCCTGATATCCATCACTTTTGGAGTAGAAGCTAATGGTAAGTCTGAAAGATGTTCATCGTCTGCTGCTTCTTGTATTTTGTTCATTTTACCAGCTGTTTGAGTGTCTGTAGAGGCTGATGATGAATTAAAGGATGAACAGTTCTTGTGAGTAGTGATTCTGTTTTGAATCAGCAATCCGGATACACTAACCTCTAAGTAACCAAAGCCAACAGTTCTCATGAGTCAGGCTCTGTTAGCAGTGAAGCTAGTATAATGCAAAGGGCCAAACTGACAAGAATTAAAAGCATTTTAAGCACTATGGTGCAACCCATGAATCAGGACAGTTCACGGTGATCAGGGGTTACTCTTTGACTTCAATGATGTGCAGATGGAAAATCTGTGTGTGTGTCACACCCTCCTCTTCCTCCTCTTCCTCTTCTTTTTTGTCCTCTTGCCTTCTTGTTGATGAATTGTCTCTGTGTGCTCTTCAGACAGTCCTTCTGTGTCTCCTGAGGTAACTTTAAACCTCCTTGAACGATGAACTTTTTTCTCTGTGTTTATTTTGAGCCTGAATCATAAAAATGTCTGAATTTTAAATGTTGTTTTTTTCCTCAGATAGATGAAACAGATGAGAGACGATCTTTACTCTGTGTCCGTCCTTTTCAAAGAGCACATTTGTTATTCTGATGTGTATTTAAATATATCAGTGACTCTCTCAGGGACAGGGTAACCACTCATTTTACTGTCCCTCACTCACCCCAGTTTTCCTTAATAATGTTTTACAGTTCATAGCCTGAGTGAGCTTTTCTTTTTTTTGTCCTTCATTTGATGTTGTGACTCATTGATCAGTGCCGTACCCGGTGACCTGTGTGACCCGTGGAGCCGACCTGGCCGAGGACGGTCTGGTTGTTTTGTGTCCTCCGGACTGCACGCAGGGGAAAGTGTCTGTGTTTGGAACGGGAATCTACGCCGCCGTCTCGTCCGTCTGTGGAGCCGCTGTACACAGGTGAGGCGTCATGCTTTGTTTTTTAAGGTTTCGGGCTTTTTACGCCTTTATTGTAGAGACAGGACAGAGGATAGAGTGAGAAATCAGAGAGAGAGATTTGTTTTGCAGCCAACAAGAAAAAGACATCAATCACGACACGCAAGTTAGAGAATATTAGAAAAAAGACACATCAGAGAGAAAACAAAGAAACTATAAAAACGATAAAAATGATCAAAGTGTGAAAGGTTCCACCAATCAGGGCATGGGGGGGGGGGGGGGATATCAACCAATAAAATCAATAAAAAATATAAATAACCTCTTGAATTAAGCCAGAGTAAAAATAATCTTTTGGACTTAAATGAATAGATTCATAAATATGAATATGTAAACATGGCTTCAGCTTGTTGAGCTCAGTGTTATCAGCAGGAACAGATCTGTTATCGTCCTACTTTGTTCTGCACCTATCGGGGTGAAGAAGCTGAAACTCATTGAGCAGAGGGTTTATTTTTGTTTGCTTATTTGTTAGGAACCCCATTAGCTGTATCTTCGAGCTCAGCTTTAGGGTGGGACTCATGGTTTAAGATGGAGGTTGGAGGTCTGCAGCCGGTTTGCTCTGAGGTTTTCTGGAGTGGATTTTCAGACACGTGTATCAAACAGTGTTCAGTGACTGACAGCAGATGTGACATAATAATGAGCAGCATGAGTCCTGCTGTGTGCTGAACCTCAACAAAACACCAACACCATGAAGGAATGTGCAGGATTAAGCGCTCAACCCGGCACGACCTCCTTGTGGTCTGCGGAGGCCCGGAGAGGAAAAACTCTGAGCGACGTCGACTCCAACAGGATTCTTCTTCTTCTTGACTTTAATGATGTGCAAATGGAAAATCTGTGTGTCACACCCTCCTCTTCCTCCTCTTCTTTTTTGTCCTCTTGCCTTCTTGTTGATGAATTGTCTCTGTGTGCTCTTCAGACAGTCCTTCTGTGTCTCCAGAGGTAACTTTAAACCTCCCTGAACGATGAACTTTTTTCTCTGTGTTTATTTTGAGCCTGAATCATAAAAATGTCTGAATTTTAAATGTTGTTTTTTTCTTATCTTTGAATTTGGACCTGACTGTGATCACATTTGTTTCAAATGCACTCAGCTTACCTTGAATCCTTTCATGAAGAGCTGATCACATTTATACTCTGTAAAATTATTAACTGTTGAGCCCTGAAGGATTATTTTTCTCTATTACAGCCGGGTCTTATCCTGATCCTCTTTGACCGGTAATATACTGTCCAAAGTACAAAATGTCACTCACAGTAATTCACCACATGGATTTATTAAAGACAGAAATTAAATTCTGTTGGGCATCGTGTCAAATCAGAGCTCTGCATGTTTCTAATAAGCTCCACGAGCAGAAACGTGCTCAAACTAGGATCAATATTGGAGATGCTTTTGAAAAATGGAGAGAGGTTAGAACACAGAAAGGTTTACAGACCGATGCAGAGCTGGATAAACACTGAAGCTTCAGTGTCCACCACATGGCGACCTGTGTGAGCATCGACTCTAGAGAGGAGGGGAGAGACAGCTCTCTATGATGTTTAGAATTTAGAGTGCAGTACCCATTTTAAACACTAGGAGTCATAGCTACATATTGCTCCTTTAAAACCAAGCAAATGATTTGGTTATCAGACAAGAACAGGGCTTAAAAAAACAAATATAAAATAGATGTAATTAATTAATAAATACTTAAAGATTTGAAAGAGGGTTAGCTTCTGGTTGATGATTGTGTTTCTGTCTTGTAGGGGGGTCCTGGGTCCGTCCGGTGGCCCAGTCAGGGTTCACAAGCTGCACGGTCGGTACAACTACCTGAGCTCCTACGCCAACGGCATCCAATCACAGGCCCTGTCCCGCTGGACCGCCTCCTTCAGCCTCACCAGTAGGTGGAGACACTTTTGTCAACACGATAACACATTTGTAAACATTGATATGATTCGATCGATATCTGTTTGATACCACGGCAACACAGATTTTAAGTCCAAGGCGCCAAATATTAAAGAATGTCATGTTTTCAATGATCTTCTTATGAAGCACTTTACATGTGAAACCTTTGTGGTAACAAAGATATCTGGATGATCATCACTCTGTGCTTTTGTAAAAAGATTTAACAGGTACTGTTTTCTCTCTTTCTCCATCGTCTCTGTTATCAGAACCAGTTAGTTCTCCACTAGAGCTGACCAGTGAGACCAGTACCACAGCTCTACCAGCAGCTGAACAACCAGGTAAATGTGCCCCTGAAAGCCCTGTTGAGTGGACCCTCCAAGGATATGATTAAAATCAACACATGAACATACGATCAGTAGTGTTAGTGCTAGCCTCCAGGCTAACATTAGCTCTCTCTGTCTGACTACCATAAGCCTCTGGAGCCGACTGAAATAAGTTTGTTTATAAGTTCTTGTTGGGGTCAAATGCTCAACCAGCTCTATCCTCAGGCTGGATCATCTGAGAGCCAATTATTCAGAGAATTGACAGTAACAACTCAGAGGTTTATAAACAGAAACTTCTGCTGCTGCTGTCGGGTCTTTTTCTTCCCCTGAAGCTTCCAGACACAACAGGAGTTTGATGTTTCAACCAGACTGACTGTGTTACCTTAGCTGACCCCTCCATGTTTGTGTGTGTGTGTGTGTGTGTGTGTGTGTGTGTGTGTGTGTGTGTGTGTGTGTGTGTGTCTGTGTGTGTCTGTGTGTCTGTGTGTGTGTGTGTGTGTGTGTGTGTGTGTGTGTGTGGTGTTGTGTGTGTGTGTGTGTGTGTGTGTGTGTGTGTGTGTGTGTGTGTGTGTGTGTGTGTGTGTCTGTGTGTGTGTGTGTGTGTGTGTCTGTGTGTGTGTGTGTCTGTGTGTGTGTGTGTGTGTGTGTGTGTGTGTGTGTGTGTCTGTGTGTGTGTGTGTGTGTGTGTGTGTGTGTGTGTGTGTGTGTGTGTGTGTGTGTGTGTGTGTGTTGTGTGTGTCTGTGTGTCTGTGTGTGTGTGTGTGTGTGTGTGTGTGTGTGTGTGTGTGTGTGTCTGTGTGTGTGTGTGTGTGTGTGTGTGTGTGTGTGTGTGTGTGTGTGTCTGTGTGTGTGTGTGTGTGTGTCTGTGTGTGTGTGTCTGTGTGTGTGTGTGTGTGTGTGTGTGTGTGTGTGTGTCTGTGTGTGTGTGTGTGTGTGTGTGTGGTGTGTGTTTGTTTTGCAGCAAAAAAAACACTGAAGAAGCCATCAGTGAAGAAAGCTCTGACAGGCGGAAACAAAGGTACACCTTGTGCTCTGTGTGTTTGTTGTTGTGAAGATCTGACTTTATTTTTTATGTTCAGACTTTTCAGGACCAGAGTTTTATCATCAAATCACGGAAGTTATTCAGTATAAGAATCTTAATAATTCTATAAATAGAAACAATGTTGATAATAATATTAGACCAGATAAAAAAGTGTTTAGTGGTTGTGTCATATTTATTAAAGTTTGAATCTATAGAATCAAAAAGTTACCTCAGTAATGTCATAAATCCTCATGTGTGTGTATGTATACAGTGACTCTCCCAGGACAGAGTTCTTATTGACCAACTACACTCAGCCTAAAGAGTTGCTGTTTGCCATAAAAGAAGTTGCCTACCTGGGAGGAGACACCAACACAGGTAACAATCAAACACACCAACATACATGCACTATTGTACTTTACATTTACATAGGAGCAAATCTTCCCTAATCTCAATCCAAACTTGATTTCAAGTGAATGACCTTGTCACCTGAACCTTGAAAACAACATGTAGTCTTCTTCTTTTCTCACACTCTTATGAAGCTCTAGCAGCACATCTGGGGCTTAAACTGATGGGATTTGTAGTTTAAATGAATTCAGTTTTTTTCAAATGAAGTCTCATTAACATTTTTCTGTTCCTTGTTCTGATGTTGGATTGGTGCAGGTAAGGCCATCATGCACACAGCAGAGTCCTTCTTCACCCAGGAGAACGGGGGGAGGCGGGGTCACCCTCGGGTCATGATGGTGCTGATCGACGGCTGGCCTTCTGATGACCTGGAGCAGGCGGCCATGTTGGCGAGAGAGTCCGGCATCAACGTTTTCCTGGTGTCCGTGGCCAAACCGGCGCCTGAGGAGTTCAGCATGGTGCGGGACAAGGAATTCATGAAGAAGGTGCGCGCTTCATTAATGTTCTTAATCATTTATTACACTTTTAGATAAAGATTTGTTTCTTTTTTACAACTGTTTCCATGTTTCTTCTTCTTTTTCCTGCAGGCGGTGTGTAAAGATAACGGGTTCTTCAGTTATCTGATCCCCAGCTGGTTCAGCACCACCAAACATGTCAAACCTCTCACTCAGAGAATCTGCTCACTGGACGGTCTGCTCTGCAGTAAGACTTTCATGCTGAGATTTATGAAATGTGTTTAAAAACGTTACGATCTCTTTTATTTTAAAGATTGATAATATCAACAGTACAGCAACTTTTAAAAACTAAATCTATCTCATGAGACGGGTTTGAAGGAGAGGAATGGATCTATCAAAAATTGCAGACAAACTCCTGCACACTGTCGAAATGCAAGTGTTTGTCTGCGGTTATTTTAAACGAAAAACAAGACATTTTCCAATATTGGGTGCCTAAGACTTCTATTTTTGTTGCCATGGTAACAAACGGGTATCAATATGGTTTGGTTTTTAACTGACTCAGAAGTAGAACATAAATGGGTAAAATGTATTTTCATGAAAAGGTAAAACCTGCTACAACTCGGTGAACATCGGCTTCCTCATCGACGGCTCGTCCAGCGTTGGAGACGGAAACTTCCGGATGGTCCTGGACTTACTGACAGGAATCTCCCGAAGCTTCGACATCTCTGACGTAGGCGCTCATATCGGTGAGCCTTCACGAGATGGAAAATGATTTGATTAATGGTTTAATGGAAGAGCTGATTGGCTGACTGTTTGAGCTGTGTGTCTAGGTGCGGTGCAGTTCACCTACGATCAGAGGCTCGAGTTCGGCCTGTTTGACCACCACAACAAAGAGGACGCCATCAACGCTCTGAAGAGGATCCCCTACATGAGTGGAGGAACCGCCACCGGGGCCGCCATCACCTACGCCACACAGAACCTGTTCAGGTAACACCGCACTGAAATTCTGAGTGTGATCAGAAAATATTAGAAAACACAAGGGACATCTTATGAAAAATCCACTTGTACAGTGTTTTTGAACATATATTTGGGTAACCTGAGTGTCTACTGACCGACAACATGTGAAATAAACCCATCCAGTCATTTGTTTGTGGTCTGCATAAGTCTTACAACACAGAGAAAAATGCTCCGTTTCAAATGTGCTCTCCTTGTGATGTCACAGTGGGATTCTGGTAAAATAAATCCCCTCCCCTGTCTACGGGGAAAACTCAGGGGGGGCTCATTGCATTTAAAGAGACACACACACCAAAACGGAGCGTTCAGAGAGCTGGTTTATACATGGTCACAAACCTCCTCTGGTGTTTGATTCATGTTATATTTTGACCAAAGCACAGCACAGATGTTTCATTTAGACCACAGGGGACTGTTTGAAAAGGTGGAGAAGGGGGATAATATGTCCTCTTTAACCAGGTTTTAATATTTAAAATATAAGGTGATTTGTGATTCAGCATGGTACGGGACAACTTGGCCTAGTGTGAGTGCGCCCTAGCTCACATGATGTGGTTCAGGTTTTCTGTCACTGTTAAGTCAGCCTTATCAGAATCCATCATAGTGCAGGATAAGCTCCCCAGAGGATAAGTAATTACATGTTTATAATATTTATTTACAATAAAACAACGATATTTGTTTTAGTATTCTGATGAGGAGTAACAGTTGTACCTATGCTTGTTATTTAGCAACCTTTGAACCGTATGTATGCCCTTAGATATGTTGCCAGATTAGGGGAAGGAGAAGACATTTTGTCAGTGTATATTATTATTCTGTGCAGATTGTAAACACCTGTGAGTTAACAAAGAGAAGTGGACGAGACAACACCCTGCTGCATCATGTAAACTATCACGGAGTAAATAGTAAACAGCTTACAGGAAGGAGATGGAGTCATTCATTCATTCTAGGGTGAGAAAGATACATGACTTAGAAGTTTAAAAAAATCGTTTTGTCCTACAGGCGGACAGGACCAGGTCGCAACTTCCTCATTGTGGTGACAGACGGCCAATCGTATGATGACGTCAGAGGCCCGGCGATGGCTGCACTCAAACAAGGTGTGTATTTTAAAATATGAAAGGGGATTTTAAAAAAAAAACAGGGAGAACAAATTAAATTTGAAATTCTTATCCTTTGTTACTTTGTTCTACCATACTCCAGGAATCACCATTTTCTCGGTGGGCGTGGCCTGGGCACCCATGGACGACCTTAAAGCAATGTCATCAGAGCCGAAAGACAGCCACACCTTCTTCACCAGAGAGTTCACCGGCCTCGAAAAGTTCATCCCACAACTGGTCAGAGGGATCTGCCGAGACTTCACAGAGAATAACTGAGAAAGCACACACACACACACACACACACACACACACACACACACACACACACACACACACACACACACACACACACACACACACACACACACACACACACACACAAGCACAGGCACACACACAAACACACAAACACACTCAGTGCTTTTGTGCTTCTTCTTCTCACTTTGTTTACGTCCAGGTCCTCCCAAAAATAAAAAGACACATCTGAACATCAGATGTCCATCAGTGAATTAACTTGAAAGCCCCTGAACATAAAACCAAGTCTTAACCGATTGGCCCTTTGTCAAGCCCCGCCCTTACCAGGAAGTAACCCTTTGTCAATTCCCGCCCTCCATAGTTACTGTTACTAGGTAATACAAAATCTCTTGTCTCTGGGCTCTGTCACATTTAAGGCAATTGAAAATACCTCGACATTTGACAGACTTTTATTTTTAATTAATTGATCAGATTATTTTCTAAACTTGTTCTCAGTGAAAGAAGAAGGACAGAGACACAGCAGGGTGTATGAGAAGAACTCTAAATCTCTAAAAACTTGTTAAAATCATTTAAAATAAGATCGATGTCTCACACTATAACTGAAAAAGAAAAAGTCCCCACTTTGCAGATAAAGTAGGAGGTCCTCACAAAGACAAAAGAACAAGAACACACACACACACACACACACACACACTCTGTATATAAACTGAACACATAAACCAACTATACTAACACATACACATAAAAGAACACATGTATATAAAAGACACAAAACATAGAAATCACACATTTATACCAAAAACATTTTTCTACTTAATGAAGGAGGCGTTTGGATTTTAACCAATCATCATTGACGGTAGAAATCTAAATCTTTCTTCTTCTTCTTTTATATGTCATCTCCTGTCGTGAGTGTTTCTTTTCTCATCACAGTCTTTAAAACGAATCCGATCAATATTTAAAACATATATTTCAACAGCAACCTATAGTGAACACCTTGTAGAAACTTTGCTTTCATCTTTTTTAGCTCGCTGAATTGATTTAATTTATTTTTTCCTCGTTAACTTCAGAGGAAGTAGGTCATGGCGTAGATTCTCACTTTGTGCCATCGATAGCTAATAAATAATTTTATATAAAAAACAGAGAAGTGTAAAATGAAACCTGGCTAGCCTGACTAATAAACTGCACATTAAAGTGGAAATAAACGATTAAGAATCTTTTAATTATGAAATGTTATTTCCTGAAATCCTGAGAGGAAAGAAATATAAACTGTTTCATAGTTAAGAGGTGGGACTTTTAATTTAAAAGTAAAGATTGTATGGGTATTCAATTCTTTCCTTTTTTTTTCTTTCCCCAGTACCAGAGAGACTTCAGCAAGCTTTGTTTTATTTTAGGTGAATTTTAAACATTTTAGCATCTAAAAAAAACATCTGGATGTCTGCCGGTTAACAATTTAAGACTAACACGCTTTAAAGGTTCAGTCAGTGAGATGTGTAGTGAGTGAAATGATAAAGTGAGCTTACTATATGATCAGACATTAAGGAAACATGATATGTTGAAGTGCTGGCTTCTCTGACAACAATGCAGCAGCCAGTATGTCCTCCTTCTAACTTTAGATTCTGCTCCTGAATGCTCTGGATTTGTTTGGACCAGAGAAGGTAGGCGGTTTTAAGGCACCCCCACATGGCCGTTTGGGACGCCCCTCGGTTTGCCAGATATGAGAGCAGTTATCAGGTCAACAGGTGTTGCAGTGATGGAAGCGGGCAAGAGAAGTGGTTCAGATAGAAGTGATTGTACCCGACCTAAAAAGCCTCTGCATGTTTCTAATAAGCTCCACGAGCAGAAACGTGCTCAAACTAGGATCAATATTGGAGATGCTTTTGAAAAATGGAGAGAGGTTAGAACACAGAAAGGTTTACAGACCGATGCAGAGCTGGATAAACACTGAAGCTTCAGTGTCCACCACATGGCAACCTGCATGAGCATGGACTCTAGAGAGGAGGGGGCGGGGGGAGACAGCTCTCTACAATGGTCTTTTAGAGTCAAGCTTCTGTTGGTGGATTCATAAAAGAATTACATATTCTTTAATTTAAAACATCCTAAAACAAAAGATCAAAACCATATGATCAGAAATATATTCAATTAAATCTTTTAATCTCCTTGTTAGTGTATTACTTATTTTCATAAACATTTTGAAAAACCGGTAGATTTCTGTGTTTCTCTTTAACTTTTACTTTACTTTATGAAGACCGCCACAGCCCAGGGTTAAGCACACAAATGTATAAAATATTAACTGTTTCCACCTGAACTATTGTCTGTTCAATGTGGAAAAGAGGAAAAAACAAACATACATTGAACAAAACGTGCCAAATATGTGTGTCAAAAGTAAACATCACAGCTTATATCAGTTTATTTGTGTTATTTCTTACAGGCACACATTAAAAGAGGAATATAAGAGTTCATAAATGGATCGATTTACGGCCCAACACGCCTTCTATAACGTTTAGAAATATCAGATTGTAGTCGGCATTTTCTTTTCTTTTCTGTTTGAATCAAATAACCTGAAAACAAAGTCTGTGCTGAGGGAAAACAGAGTAAAAACAGAGCAGCAGAGATTTATCGTAAACTAGATTTTATTTTTTAAAGACTTCACTGTGTAATCTGTTGAATTCATCTGTGGTGTCATTTCCTGCGGGTGTCAAGTGTCCGATATAACAGCAGATATAAATATTATAAAATCGTTGTTGTTTTTTTAGTCTGGGTTAATGAAACTTTTATGCTTTATGGATGTTAAATGATGATCTGTCCTTTTTCTGTATTTATTACCTGTTTTTCCGTGTCTCAATAAAGATAATTGATTTTTACACCGTGTCCTGTAAAGGTTTTTTCCAAACACTTCCAAATGGGGTTGTGGCGCCACCTACAGCACACACTGCAGATTACAAGAAAACGAACAGGCTCCTTTTATTTTCTTACCAAAACTTACACCGAATTAAAAGTCTTCGTCTTTGTTGAATTTATATTTATATGTATACATTTATAGATATTAAGAAATTGTTTTTTTTCATTTCATACCCTAATATATTTCTACTAGCGACTATGAATAAAAAATATTCACTTGTCGAGGCCTGCAGGCTAAATGAACTCACGTTTTATCATTACAGGCTGCTGTACTAAAACTATAAGATATGATTTTTTAAACGTAAAGAAGTGATTTAAATGTATTCTTATCATTTTCAACCACATTAAAAACTCGATACGGATACTAATAAGTATCCGTGTCCCCCCTACATCTCGCTTGTTTGGTTCGTTCCAACAAGGCGGATCATCTTGAGGGCCGTTGCCATGGAGACGCAGTCGGCACAGAAACAGTAAGGGCCGTTGGTGAAGGTGTGGATGTGTTTCAGGTTATCTCCTTAAAGTTTTCACAGGTGAGTAGGAGTTAAATATCTGTACACAGAGTCAGAGGCCCGTTACTGCCGGTAAGACACGTTTTATGTTTTCAACAAACTTTATAGTTCGATAGAAACCGTCGTTAAACGTTAAAAGAATAAACCAAATTTAATAATAATATAATATAATAAATATAATAAAGATCTAATGTGACGTCATAACGCGACCTCACAGGTGAGTTAAAGCAGGGGGTCGCGAGATGCCTTCTTTGAAGATTATTTTTTCAATTGTGTATTTTACCCATTATTAAGAAGAATATATACAAGAAGTGGGCCTAGTTTAACTTCAAATAAAACCCAATCATTAGGTGAAATGAAAATAATTTGTTAAAATAGCCTACTTAAAATGTGAGATTGCAGATGTAGGTGTCTGGTCTCTTTACCTTAGACTGTTTATGAATGGACATCACACCCGTCTGTTCCTACAGGGGGCGCTGGAGTCCCATCGATGGCGATCTCCAACTTTCAGCCAACCTAACAACAGACTGAGAGCTGGAGCTGACAACCATTACACCGCGCCCACCTGTCAATCATGTCAGCTACACGCCTTATTGTGAATAACTCTTATCCTTCATCAAATCATCAAAACATTCACCCCCCGTACAGTGTGTGCTGATCGAGACATGACCTAATCAGACCATCACTGATGATGACATCCCATCATGGTCTTTAAGATCGCCTCATGTTTTAAAAACATTCAGTTCATCTTGTACAGATTTATTCTGATGTGTCATTGGTCACTGTGTCAGGTGTTCTAGCAGAGAAGAGGAGAGGAGAGGGGGGAGGAGTCATGCCGAAAAAATCAAAGAAAGGTGGAGGAGGTAAAGATGGAGGGAGGACGGAGGGCGAGAGGCTGCTGTTCCAGCAGCAGAGAGCTCAGGCGGAGGAGGAGATGGCCAAAAAGAAAGAGGAGATGCTCACTCTGTTTCTGAAGGTCGGTCAGAAATACACAAACACCGAGGCTGAGAAGAACTTCTGTGTATGAGCCTGCAGCTCTTTACCTTGGTGAACACCTGTGATGTTTCTGTGACTCAGGACAAGCTGCAGAAGGAGGAGAGGAACACGGCGGTGAATCTGCTGAAGCTGAACGACGGCTGGAGGTCGATCCTCCGTCAGACTCGCTCCAATGAGCTGCGTAAAGACATCGTGGTGATGCAGCAGAGTTTTGAGAGGCAGCTGGACGCGCTGGACAACATCACCAAGGTACACTTTTCTTTTTTTACTTTATTTAAACTTCTTATATATGGCGTGGTGTATGAACCATGAACAACCGTACATACGACCACATGCAGAGCGAGTCTGGCTCCGCTCCAGGCCTGTTAGTTTCCTCGCCACTGATACTTAACTAAGCGCTATCCTCATGGTGGAATCATTCTTACAATATTTCCATCAGACATTCAACAGAAAAGCAAGAAATAATGAATTTAATAAGGTGTGTCACTTCCTGTTTGCAGAACCTGTTGCGCGACCTGCAGGAGTCGGAGCGTCAGTCGGCTCAGGTGCATCGGGCTCACCTGCAGCGGGTGGAGAGTCTGTGGGCTCAGCAGGACAAACGGCTGATGTTCCTCCACCAGCGGTGGGAGGGCGGCCTGCAGCAGCTCAGCTCCACCTACAACTCTGACAAGTGAGTGTGAGGAGCCACAGTACCCCCTACAGGCAGCAGCTGTCATTACAGCTGTGACAAAAGAGACGAGCTGATGTTTTATCTGCTCTTAAGGTCAGTGGATGAGAGTGTTCTCAGGTGTTTGAGATTATCATGACAGCCAGATTTTAAACTTCAGTGTGATTCCAGGCCATAAGCCAGACCCGGGCGGCCTGCTTTAAGGACAACAGCCTCTGGACATCTGGAGCTAACTAACCCCGAGGCCATCAGGACCCCCCAGTATTGATTTTTAATTCAATTCAATTCAATTCCATTGTATCTCCATTCCATTAAAAACTGTTAAAACAAAGAGCTGCAGATGAGTCTCCTTGTCTGGGACTTAGAGTCAGAGATCAGAAATGATGGAGGTCAAACGGTTGGAACAGAACATCTCCGTCTAGAGGTGCTGGAGTTGGCTCAGCATGACGTGTTGATATCGTTAAACATTTTGTACTGGAGATAAGTCAAGGTGTTTTAAATCTCCATCATGGTCCTCTGGTTCACACCCTCTCTGATGGCGCCTGGGTTTGTTTTCAGGAAGCAGATGTTGGAGCACTTTAGGAAGCTGAGAGCTGAGGTGGAGGACGCCGAGTTCACTCTGCGGAAACAGCACGAAGAAACGACGAGTGAGCTGCACAAAGTGTACGGCGCCAGCATTAGCGCCTACAATGACACCTCTACCGAGGTACACCACACTGCTTCTCATTGGTCTCTCTCAGTCACACACGCAGACGTCCCAGTCTGAGTCTCTGAGCTGTCTCCTCCCTGTGCGCACAGAAAATTGCCATTCTTCGGAACAGCAAGATGAGGCTGGATGAGGAAACGTTGAAGCAGCGGCGGGCCGAGGAGTGCTGCAGAAAAGACACCATGACGGTGGAGCACCTGCAGTACATAAACCGGGGCTTCGTCCAGTCCACAGAGACCAGCGTGAAGGATGAGAAAATGCTGAAGGTACGGCCAAGAGAAGTTTGTTTTGTGGTTAAGAGGATAGACGCTGTGTCCATGCTTCAGGGGGAATTTAAACCTGTACTCTGTCTTCACATATTATTAAAGCTTTGAATGTCAGCGTCGTCTTCTTAGAAAACTCTGTGGTCCTGGTGTCAGTCACATTTAGTCTTACCTCTCCATCCTCCTGATTGACACCATGTTCCACCTGAGCTGTAGAGTATCGGAGAAGAGTGGCGATTCTAGAGTCTGTTGTGACTCTGTGGTAAAAGAGGGTTAATACCACTAACACTCTATAAAAGGTTTTCTGTCAGTTCACTTTGACGTCTGTGAGTTCAGGACAGAGCGGCGGCTTCTTGCAGCCCGATGTATCATAGCCTCTGTCTTGTTTCCTCTCTGTCAGGACTCTGTGGTCCGGCTGAAGGAGAAGCTGAGCTCCAGTAAAAAAGAACATAAGGGCGTGGAGCTGGACCTGCTTGCCGCTGCAGACCAGGTGAAGCACAGCACCCACCAGCTCCGGGACCAGCTCAAGCATTCTCAGAAGGTGGCAAGGAAGCAGCTCACCGACCTCACTGTGCAGAGCGACAACGCCGCCAAGAAACTGCGGGCAGTTATCGCCAAGGTGATATTTCTCACTTCCTGTTTACTCTTCAGATCGTGTCTGTCCTTCTACTCAATTTATACGCTTTACGTCTGAGTTAAAATATTGATTCATCAACGCATTGCAAAATATTTTATACCAATTTAACATCGATTCCGAAAATCCTGAAATCAATTGACTTAATAAAGTCACTTAATAAACAACGTCTGTAAAATACATGTTGCAGTCAAAACACGTCAGACAGCCCTCCTGTGCTTTCTCTCCTCCTCTACTGCAGGGCGAGAAAGTTTTACGAGTCGCTGAAATGTGTCGCAGACTGGAGAGCAAAGTCCTGCTGACACCGCCATCAGATAAACCCCGACAGGAGCCGGACTCAGAGGGACCTGCAGAGGTAGGACAGGATTTACAGGTCCAGTACCGGGGTGCAGCAGCTCTGTGTGTGTGTGTGTGTGTGTGTGTGTTGACACCAAGAGCCTTTACAAACCTGTACGTTAAAAAAGATCAGAAAAAGATGGAAAACATAAAGTTAAGTTATTGATGGAGATTTGACATTTTGTAAGAGACTACAAACCCGTCCACAGCGCCACATGAAGAAGCTTCTGTCTCTGACGCAGGAGGCGTGCTGACTGGATAAAAAGCTCCTACGACCACCCTTTAAAAATATGAACCGTCCCTTTAAAGTGTGAGCTCTACAGACACAGCAGACGATGAACAGGCTGGTTATAGACAAACATTTCTCAGGAACCAATCAGAAAGTAAAGCGTCGACCTCTCTGACCTCTGTGTTTTTCTGCAGGTGTCCCCCGAGCCGCGTCACGTGACTCGCTGCCCCACCTCAGCCGTGCTGCAGCGAGAAGCTCTGAAGAGACACAAAGACGACCTGAGCGCAGAGAACCAGCAGCTGAGGCTCCTCCTGCGTCAGCACCTGGACGGCATGACGGTCAGCGAGCAGCACATGGACCAACGCCACGCCCTGCTCACAGTGTATCCCGCCCCCACTGCCACGGCCCCGCCCGACACCAGGAGATGCCACACGGTCATTGAGGCCGTTCACGCCGTCAAACACTCGCTGAGATGAGACCGCAAGACGGACACTCTGGATTATAAAATGAAAGTTTTCATAAAGAGCAGACGATGAATCTGCAAACAGGAAACAATGTTTTCTGTGTTCATCAGCAAGAACGACTTTCTGACCTTTAATGATCCTCCCCCAACCAAACCAGGAAGAGAGTGAGAGGGTGAGAGAGAGAGAGTGTGAAGGTGAGAGAGAGGGACTGAGTGAGAGAGAGAGCGCGTGAGGGTCAGAAGGACAGTGTGTAAGAGCAAGAGTGAGTGTGAGAGTGAGAGAGTGTGTGAGTGTGAAGGAAAGAGAGAGTGTGAGTAGGGCTGGGCGATATGGACCAAAACTCATACCTTGATATTGTTTAGCTGAATGGCGATACTCGATATATATCGATATGTATTTTATTAATAGTGAAAACACATGGAAAATAAACTACCTTTTTGTGAATTTAAAAAGTATTATAAAATAAAAATGCTCCTTAAATACAATAAAAGAGAGAGAGGAGGAGCAGGGTTAAGAGGGATGAGAAAATTGAGATGAGAAAAAGGTGACCTGGCACCTCTATAATATTATTTTAATGCAACTTAAACTATATCCATATTAACAATATTGTCTTACCCTATAGTTTGTTTTAAAATATATCGATATATCTTAAAAACTTTTTCCCAGCCCTAAGTATGAGTGAGACAGTGTGTGTGTGAGAGAGTGTACGTGTGTAATTGTGTACCCAGAATAATCAGCGGTGCAGCGTGGTCTGTACATGAACACCATTTAATAGTTATTATAGACATTTTATATACAGCTGTTTCTGCTTCGTGGTACAATCTTTAAAATCTCATGTTTCATAGTTTGGAAATCAACAAAAAGAAAAAACTTACAAAAACTCATCAAAACTTGCAAACTGATCAGAACTTTTTTTTTTTTCCATTTTTTGGAAGACTAGAAAAAATACTTTGATCGTATTAATCATGCATTACACGAACAGAAGAGTCTTTAGTTACACAAAGAAAAATAAAGATTTATGTGTTGTGTTCCATCACGAGCCGCCTAGTAACAAATCCCTTCAGTTACAAAATTAAATTAATATATAAACAAACAAGAGCCAATCAGCTGGCAGCTTCGTTCTTTCTAACCTGCCCCAGGAGGCCTCTGATTGGACCATTTCTCCTGGAGCTCGGACAGACTGAAAACAAGTTGAACTCTGGCGTGTTGAGTCTGCGGTGAAGAAAAGTCAAACGTAGTCAAAGTGAAGAGAAACCCACACGGTGATGAGGAGGCGGAGCAGCAGGAGGGGCTTCAGGAGGAGCCGCAGGAGGAGGAGGAGCTTCAGGAGGAGCCGCAGGAGGAGGAGGAGCTTCAGGAGATGGGGGTGACAGGTATCCTGCTGCTGAGCGCTTAAAGACGACGTGGTTACACCCCCATCACAAAGACTCTACCAGTGCTGCGTTCAGGTACCTCTGAGGGCATCATCCAGTACGTCGTTGATGGTTTCACTTCCTCCTGTTTCATGTCGTTTAGTGTTTACATTCCATAATGTGGCTCTGTTGTATTACCTGTATTTTATCATGTCTCTTAGCGGTTCAGCCGTTTGTTCAACGTGTTTAAGAAACAAATCACTTTACTTCATCTCCAAAACACAAACCCTTCAAATCAGATCTGAAAGTGAATCCAGCCGATTTTATTTATTATTGATTACGTAGAAAAGCGTTAAGCAGGAGAAACACGGACAAAGGTCGTCAGAATATTCATGACTTCAACATGTTTTGATTGCACACGTTTTTATAACGATATAACAGTTATCTTAATGATCAAGAGAATCAAAGAGGAACGACACTTTAAGAAAACTACAAACCGTCAGCCATGTTTGTAACAAAGAGAGAGAGTGAGCACGTTGGCAATGTTTTGGTACTGAACAGTTGCCGAAGTTAGTGTGCAGAAGTTTGTCCAAATTTTAATGATTTAAATCAATAAATTACTGAATACCAGGTCTCATGGACTTTTGATTTGGTTGCCGTGCTAACAAAAAGGTAATAATATTGTTTGATTTTAACTGGAATCATAGGAAACTTTATAAATTAAGTTACCATGACAACTCTAACCCTGACAGAAAGATGTCTATCAGAGCAGCGTCTTCCTCCTCGGCCGAGTCTCCTCGGCTGCTCCTCCTCTCTCCTCTGATGTTTACGTAACATCAAATCCTCAACGCAGTCCAGAACCTGAACCCAGAGTTCCTCGCAGGAAACCAGACTCCATCCTTGAGTGTCAGATGAATACGTGGATACAGGAAGTAGGTGGGCGTCGCCTGTGAGCGCCATGATGGCGGGACTGGTAGGGAATGAGGGACCAGAATCCGTCTCCACATTTATAAAAACGATTATAAAAACTAGATTTATTTTACACAAACAGAAAACGTCCATGTGGAACTACAGTAACGCTGAACGCCCCCGACTCGCCGCCTGGTAAACGTTGAGCTCTGATTGGCCCACTGAGGTTGGGGGATGAATTAACCAATCCTCAGAAACTTGAGAGATGTCCAATCAGCTGGCAGCTCAGAGAGGAAAAAAACAGGAACATGATTTTTAACCCGACGTGGCGAATCAAACTCCAGATCATTTTAAAAACACGTAAAAAAGAATCCGATCTTTTTTTCATGAAAACTTTAAGAAACTAAAAACAGAAACACGTTGGGTTAAAAACATCACAAGTTCTGTTCTGTCTTAAAAGCAGCTCAACTCTTCTCTGACTCTGCTGCAGCTTGAGGTCGACAACCGTCCTCTTCTTCTTCTGTTGTTCTGTTCAGAGCGTTTCAATCGACTGCCTCAGATCAGCTGTTCCCTCTAAACATCGAAGCACCTCCTTA